CAAGTTAATAACAAGAAAAAATTATTCCTAATGGTAGATTTTAATGCAATTTTTGAAAGTTAAACTGGAACATATTTTAAAAGAAATATTTGATATTTACTATGGTTCTTAAAATTAAATCAAATTTATTAATAAATCGCACTTTATAATTAATATGGTATTTAATATTTTATTTGTGATACCTAGAAATTGTGTAGTTAACAAACTGATTTTATTTCTTTTTTTTTTTGTCAATGGTAAAGTTTAAATATATTTTATAAGTTATTATAATTAAAAAGTTTTTAACCATTTAAATTGGTGAAATATTTAATAAACAACTCAATGTTAAAGTTACTTTAATGTAAATAAATTCACTAGATACATCGTTGATGGATACAAAAAATGGGCACTTCATGAAGCGTTGACAAGGGGATATCGCTAAAAGAGAATACCAGATAACTATGTAAAACGATATTTACATTACAAAGCTTGTTGTGGAGAAACTTGAGAAAAAATGTGTTTGGAATAATAATAAAATAACTACAACTATATGCATAAAAACGCAAGGAAAGAAAGTGTACGGATTCCCTGGTGACAAAAAAAATTATGTTTATACATGTATTTATATTACAAAGAATTCTGTGAGGGTGAAGAAGTGGATATTATAAAACAAAACATCAACTACTCTTGGAAAAAGTTAATGTGACAAAATGGAATTTTAAAAAGTCCGTGGTCAAAATATATTAAATATTCTGCGTGAAACATTGTCAAGAGGTTATCCTGTGCAGATACAAAATAATGAACTTACTCGTTTCTTTTCACTACCCTTCTTCCTCTGATCTTTTTGTGTTTGTATGCTATGTACAAAAAATTGAATTATTTTACCTAATTAAAATATGAAAACAATTTCATTCCGTTTTCATCATGGTGTGAGGTTTATAGCTTCATAACTTCATTGTGAATAAGTAATAAGTGTAACAAAATAAGTACTACAGAGTTTGTAAATTTAACTAATGTAGCTACTATTTTTTGTGTAGGCACTACGTATATTACTAAATATCATAAAAAATTTTTTTGAGCTTATGACTCTCTACAGAAAAAAATGTATAAAGGTAAGTAATTCTGTCTTACTCTTAACATAGTTTTGTTTTGATAGCATTATCCAGTTCTAGAAAAGTTTATCGACCTACTTTTAAAGCAATGACCTTATTCAAAAAGCATTGTGCAATATAAACCACATTCTTTAAAAAATAATTTTAAAAAGCCTAATATAGTGGACACACGACATAAAGGCCACATGATAGTGGAAATTTGACATTTTAGGATAATGTACTCATAATCAAAAAAAAATTCAAGTAAAAAAAAATAACTCACAAATAAGTGATTTTTTGGAATAAATAAGATTTTTAAACCGAAAGTAGCATTTTTTTATTATATTTGGGGTTTATAGGATTATCTTTTATTGAAGATAAGTCGTAGTGTACATTCTTCTTTTATTTTTATATTTGTGATATATTATACAGACTTGCTTTTAAATTTGTTGAAAAATCTCAAAAAGAAAATTGTGCATTAATTTTACTGTAATTAATGCTATTAAATTCTTTTTATTTGGAATTTTTTAAAATTATATTTAGTTGACGTTAAAAAACAAAACCAAGTCATATCATTAATTTATTACATGACACAAATAATTTATTATGGTAGTAGTATCATATTATTAATTATTGTTCTAGGATATTCCAATACTAGCAATTGTCACTATAAATTTAATTGTAGAGTTTATATAACTGAAAATAATTTTTGGAAACTTTTTATAAAATTTATAAGACCTGTATTTAAAAAACCTTATAACAGTCTCTTTATTTGTAAAATCGAATTGATGCATGTCGGTCAAAAAACTAGTCTAAAAAAGATTGGTCGAAGAGAAATTAAAGACATTTTTAATTATCGAAATTGGTATTTTTTGGATTATATAGAGTTGTATTATAACGTATATAAATAAATAAAAAAACAATAAATAAATACGCTTATTAGCTTCGATGCGAAGCGGAGAAGGTATTAATTTTACTATGATGTGTTTTTTTTTTTTTTTTTTTTTTTTTTTTTTTTTT